GACATATCGATTTTATTACTTCGTATTACATACATCCTCCCTTTCAAAAACGAGAAGAGCGTCGGGTGCAGACCATACACCACAAGTGACGACGGCCTCCAAGTAAATCTGGTTAGTAGTGGTTCATAGTGATAGCTGATTTTGGTAAATGATAGTTGTAATTAGTGACAACTGATAGAATACAACTGCAACAGGCTAATCATTTCATTGGCAGAAAACATTTACATTTTGTGGAAGGTCGTCACTTGTGGTGTATGGTCTGCACCCGACGCTTTTCTCTTTTTTGAAAGGGAGTATATTATTCACTTACTTGTTGGTGTTACGTATTGTCACGTCATACCATGTTTACTTGTCAATAGGATATTTTGCCTTTTTTTCAATTTTTTTTTATTTAATTCGTCATTACCGATTTTATACGCTTATCTGATTGTGTTTATACTTTTAACAGATTATCGCAGGTTTTCTGTGTCTTTTATTTTTGTGTTTTTTATCCGATTTATTTTGAATTCTGATTTTTCATATAATGCTCGACGCTATTGATACCCTCGGCTATTTTATGAACCCTCAAAATGTTACTGAGAAGTCCTTTAGAAGTTTTGCTATCTTTTAATTCCTGTCATCATATTCAATTAATATCGGGATGGTGTAGTGGTATGGGGCGCAAATGCCAGCGCTTGTATAGATTCAAAGATCAAGCTCTGGGTTGAACCGCATTCAGGTTCCTGACTATGCTATAACCGATTTTTCTATCGATGTTTTCTGATGGGAAAAATAACCGAATGGCTTGGAAAGGTCATCGTATGGACCAAATGCCTGAACATGCCCATCGTGATTTTGGACATAGGTCGAGTGCGTGGCGCATTCCCTCTTGGACTCCATAATTCGTAGGAATAGAACGAATGTGTAGCGTTGTCCAGGGGATACAAATGAAGCAAAAATCGCTAAACAAAAATGTTGGTGGGTTCCAGCTAGACAGCTGTCCATCTGCCCGTGGCTACTAACAAGCTTCTGACTGGCAATTTCCATTTGAGGATTGTTGTTTGTTTATCTCATAGCATTTCTTTGAGAAAATAGGATGAGCATCTTACTATAGCCTGTCCCGAATGTTTCGCATGGTTTTGTCCTGTCTCGGAAGCCGCAAATAATGGTATTCCACCATTCCAAACAGTACAGTATATGTATGTCGAGCATTTTTTAATTGTCTATTTGTCTCCGCTAACCGGTCTGAATTTTGTTCAGTTTAAACTATTCAATAATTTTATTTTATTTTTTTTTCATTTATCCAGTTTCCTTCGCGTCTTTGTAAAACTTTCTCATAACTAACCCGCGACCATTTTATGTCGGTCCCAATACAAGTTCTGTTTTCATCACAGCAATTGCCTCAATTTTTCGATTTCCGTCCTTTTATCTGTTTCGACAGAATTCCGCGAATTTCTTCCTTCGATTTTGTCGTCCTCTTGTATCATTTTTGCAGCAACTCCGCCCATTTTACTAATATTTCACAAACAATTCTAACAAAAATGCGAGAGCTTTTTCTCTTCTTCCATATAAGTCAATCACTTTGCTAGCACCGATTTTGACGTGTTGTCTGTCTTGTACTGAACTCTCTTTTGGTTTACACTATAAGTTTTGAGCCTGTTCTCATATTTACGAGCACTCCGCACCCTCCCCCCCCCCTTTCATCTTTTCAATCTTTTCCCCATCAGAATTATCGGCCGTGTACAAGAGCCTATCAACTGGCACTTAGAGGCTGGTTCATCATCGAAAATTGTTGCTGGCTCACTGCACCCACCCCACTCCTTCTCCCGGCAGGAGACGATCAAAGCCTAATGAAAAGGACATAGACATATTCGAAAAGTGTGCCGCACTGACCCGGGGAAATAACCTGAAGCAACAGTTGGCCCAACTGCAAGGGCAATTTTCTGGCTTTTTCCAGGTTTCTTGTTAATTGGAGCCAAATTGATCAAAATTTGTTATTTTTTCTCTCCAGTCGGCGAAATACGTGGGCCGTGGGTGACAAGGTGTAAGTAATTAAGAAATAGCCATCAGAATAAAGGCAAGTCCAACCATAGAGTAGCCTAGGAATAAATCCTCTTGATTTGGTCTTGATATCAGCATGAAATCAAAGATCTTATTTGTGAAACAATAAAAGCCTCTGGGAGATTCCGTTTGAGATGAACGTCATTCCTATGAGGAATTCTTTCTACGATTGAATGTTGTTTTTCTTCGGCTAATTCTTGAAAGGGGTGGCAATTTGCCGCAATGTCCAGAGAAGACGCTTCTGAAAGCCCTTGAACGTGACCATTGTCGATAGCGTTTGATCTTGTTATTCTGAGGTTCGTAGGGATCGAAATCGAAGAGAATTTGTCGCAAGGGCTTTCTCGACCGAAGTTACTTAATTTTTGGGATGATCCATTTGAAAAACTATTGATCATATGATAAATGATTGCTGATTTAGCACGCTGTTAGAGCATTTCCACAAGTTGTTCTTAAAGCTGGCACTATTTGTTCAGGAGCTATCGCAAGATACGGGGGCACTGCGGTAACAATTCCATTCGAAACCGCACAACGAATGTTTTTTTGTCAAAAAACGGGACGAAGCCTCAGGCGGGAAAAAGAGGCTCCGATGTGCGTAACCACCTTTCCCGGAATTCTGTCCCTCCTAAAGCGTCTTTCTTAAGAGGATGCCTGTGTATTGCTATAGCGCCTTTTGATCATTTGTGTCATACATTTAATTAATGTTTCAGACTTACACAATTTTCATCTGAAGCCACTTCCTCAACTTTCTCCCGCTCTCCAACCAAAAATTAATCCGATTTTCTATTGAAGAGTTGTTTATCAAGCTTCATGTCTACCAGTTGCCTATCTTTTTCGATTCTCGTGTATCCATCGCGACTCCTTGCTGCAGACTTAATTCGGTTTTTTTAGCTGAATTAATTAATTTTCAGATTTCGACATTACAAACGGTAGTGAGCGACGCCATTACTTGCTGATGACGTGAAAACCGTGTGAAGATGCGTTTCGGTTCGGGCAGTTACGACGTGCGCAGAAGCGAAGGGCTCAATCCGTCGCTGCTCACCAGCACCCGACACTCCATCACCTGCACCGTCTCGTTTCTCGACGCCTCTGAGCGGCAATTTCAAATCGACGTCAGTGAACATTCACTTCTTCTTCCCGAAATAAGTACAGTAGCGTGTTCAAAAAGTTCGGTCCGGAAACGTTTTTCGTGCTTCTCCCGATTTTTGTCAGAAAAAATCGATGGTGGCCTCGTAATTTTTTTCGTGTCCTGCGCTTCTCTAAGCGTGCCAGGATGAAAAACTCTAGGGAACATAATAATCAATCTCCTGAAGTAGTGTTCTCTGGAGAGGAAAGTAAGTACACTGCAGTATATTAATCTGTACTCTATTTTTCTGTCGTTATTTACTATGAATGGACCGTTCCTCCCTCTTTCCCCCTCCGAAATACATGCTTCGGGGAAGCCAGATATAGTTAAAAGTACAGATGAAAAATTTTGGGAGTACACCTGAGTTCATGCAGTGCAAACGTGAAATGTACCCTGACCGCCCCTGACCTGTGGGGCATGGAAGTCGTTTGGTTTGGATTTTGGCTCGAGCAGTAGCTTCCATCAAGTCGTACTCTACTGACCATTACTAGTCATTACTTTATCTCGACCGGTAGTTCGTGTTCGAGGAAAACAATCCAGCAGCAGACGCCCACCGCGATGCGGACCTCTGTGAAGTAGTATGTGTAATATCAGCCATAAATTTTAAAAGCCTAAAATGGTATTTAAGTAAATAAATTTATATGGGTGTGATGTGGCGAGCTGCTCAAAGACATCGACAGTGATTTGATGAGCTTGAAGATTTAGCAGATTTGAGCTTTTAACTGTTTGCTCAGCACATCTGCTCGAAATCCTTATTTTTTGATGATTTCAGAGGCACGCTCATGGTTCTGTACTACTCGACAAGGTGTTCGCTCATTTGGAACTGGTGGAACGTGACTTCTTTGGACTGCAGTTCTCTATGTGCTGGGGACTAAGGAGACGCAAAAGGTAAGGGTCATGAAATGTAATAGTGGAGTCAGGTTTTAAAAGCAGATTTCTGAATACACGCTTGAGAGGTTAAAGGCAAGTAGTATGATAATCTTGAGGTCGCCCAACCAGGAAAATATATCTGGAAGGGAGGCAAATTAATATTGGGAGCGCGGGGCGAGGGTTTCGGTGGGAACAGTGCGTTCCGTGGAGGCTATAACAGTGCCTTGAGCCAGTGATTTCTTTTGCGGCATCCACATCCCACTTGGCTGACCCTTCGCCATCGGACTCGGCACCCGTGCACCAGATAGCAAAGATGGGCGTGCATCATATGAAGTCATCAGCACCAACTGAAGGGTCGCTCCAACATGAATCATGCCGATAAAAAAAAGGCCCCGTTTTTCACTTTTCCTTTACTGATGCACAATTCAGCAGCCAATTTCATTTCAGCGCCGTACCTATTTGGCGTACCACCTGTCGGAACGAAGGGCTTGCCAAGCAGAACTTCGCAGAAGCCATTTTACTTGCGTGTCATGAGGGAATGGGAGGGTTCTCTTATTATGAATGTCAATGAACGTCACCGTTGTCTGTATCATACACGTCAGTACCGATTCACTGACTTTGAAGCGAAGTAGAAGGCTGGAAGTAGAAGGCTCTAATGCCAAATGATGGATCCGTTTCATACGTGATTTTCGGTTAGGACGCACCCAGAGTTTCGCCACCTTCCACCGAACCAGCTGTAGATGGCTAGAAAATCAAAAGCTCGATTGGACCTCGTGTAAAAAATTGATACAAACAACTCTTCTTCTTCGTAGTAGATCGTTTCTCGTTATAAGAACAAGCTCTTCTTCAAAATACTGTGTACAACTAGACACCGAGATGACGCTGGGAATTGAAGGCGCCATATGCTCTTTCGTTAATGGGCTCCATACTAGTCTGCAGTTCCGAGTAGATTCCTAACACATGGCGCATCCAAAAGGAATTGCTGCCACTAGTCAATCAATTTTTTTTTCATTTTCATTTTTTTTGAATCGCCTTGTTCTAAAGATTCCGAGAAAACGTATATCTTTTTTGAAAGATCCGGGAGATCCGCAGAGAAGTACAGGTGTTCCAATTTTGCTAAGGCTCGTTCTCAGACTTTCAAATTTCCAAGGACAAAAAAAGAATCACAGCGTTTCGTGCCATCCACAGCTGGCACAAAACCCTGAATTCCCACATTTTCAGCGATGGTTAGACCCTAACAAATCGATTCGAAAGCAAATGGTATGTCCGCCATTTCATCTCTGCTTTCGTGTGAAATTCTACGTGAGCGATCCGAGCAAGCTTGTCGAAGAATACACGAGGTAAAAATAGTTTTTTCTATTTCTTTTCAGTTTTTTCCTTTCTCTTGTTAAGCGACGGCTTTAGGTACCATTTCTTCCTTCAACTGCGGCTTGATATGCTGAAGGTCGACTGCCGAGTGCTGAAGGCGATCCTCGTCTCCTGCCAGCCTATGCGGCTACAGTTGTATCGTTCATTTATAATAATTTACCTTATTACTTTTGCTGTTATTTTTTAATCCTTCAATCGGTTTTATACTTTTTTGCATAAGCCACTTTTGTTGGCAGATGGTTTTTGATATTCGTTTAACTTTATCTTTCTTTCTCTCCTGTTAGCCTCAGTTTGCCTTCGATTTGGAACTGTAGATTTTTTTACACTGCAAACATACTCTGAACCCCTGGCTCACCTTATAGAATCGATATGATTTCTTGATGATATTCAAAATTTCTGTCCACATGATGCGATCAGTATTCACGACATTTCAGCAGAGCTGGGTGACTATTCACCCGAAGACCACCCTGAAGGCTATCTGAATCAGTATCGATTCGCTCCAAGCCAATCTATCGATTTCCCAAAAAGAGTTGCCGAACTTCATGCGATGCATCGGTGAGTTCGTAAAGTGCTCTTGGAACTCGAGCAAAATCATAGAACTATTCCCAAAGTTTGAAAGATTTTACAGTATATCCTCGAATAGGAACATTTTTCAGCGGACAAAGTCCTGCCGAGGCCGAGTTCAACTTTTTGGAACACGCCAAAAAGCTCGACATGTATGGAGTGGATCTCTATGCAGCCAGAGTGAGTGCTACCTTACTTGATTCCCTCCCTGCTTTTGAAAACTATTTCCGGTTCACTGTGGTATTCTGTACACGTTCCGCAAAGTTGATATCTGACAATGCGCAGCTAACGTCCGCCTCAAACTCCGCCCACGAGAGAAGAGCACCATAACGGTGATTTGCTCCTGGCTTCCGTTCAATCGGTTAGCCGTGTTCATCTATCACATCCACGCATAATAGACAAACACGCGCACGAGGTGAAGCCACGCCCACCCGCACACTCCGCCTACTACAATAACTCATAAAAGTTCTTTCGAAAACTACCTCTGAATTTGAATCTGCTCGTACCAAACTATGCAGCCTCCAGAGTTTTGAATTACTGAATCATACACCTTGACGATCACGAAGTTTTTTTGGCTCCTACTGTTTTTTTGGTTTTTTTCTACCGCTTAATTAAAGCGTCAGTGATTAACTCTTTGGTGTACGGTAATGATCTTGATTGCGCAAAATGGCTTAAGGCAATCCTAAAATGCTGCCCATATTCGGCAGATGAAGAACCATCGAGGCAAACCTTAGAGGCAAGACCTATGATTACACCCGTAGAGACAGAATAATTCGCATCGAGTACTTCTTAAAGGATTAATGATGTATTGTATTCCTCCACGATGCTACGTGGCGGTCGATAGCATGGCGTATCCTAGCAGGCGCTTAACCCTGAGACGGAATAGGCAGCACCGAGATTTTCAAAGGTCAGTAGGTCGGCTTGCTCCCTCGTGATCTCTACCTCCTAGACGTTCCATAGGACAGCTGGCCACTCAAACCGTTCAACGATTAACGATTCTGAAGGAAGTCACGTTCGTAGCAAACTACTCAGAGATAGATCCTTTAACATCGGCCACTTGGTCCGCTGTTATTCCCCCATGTACCCCACGTTGTTGCGATGATAACACCCCAGCCATCTCTAGCATGCTCTAGTGTTTACTGTGAAAAAAAAACCGTTTTGTCTAGTTTGATGGCTAAAGCAACGCTAAAGCGGGCCTTCGGCAGATAGGATGTTCCCTTTTCGCTAATCTGACACAAGCCTGCCAAGCCCTTAGTCGTTTCAGCGAGCCCAAATCATAGTCAACCGTCCACTGGTACAAGTACCAACTGAGGGAGGAGTCGTAATTGCGATTTTGGGAGGGGGAGGGTCGCATTCGGGGTTGGCGCAGCCGAAAAGTCTGAGGGGTTAATGGTGGTTGTGAAGATGAAGGGGTGGGAGTTGAGAGAGAAGGGGTTTTTAAGAGGTTGCCGACGATTCTGGCGAAAACTTCAGAGTAGAGGGGTGAAATGAGAAACGTCACAGGATCTGCTGTTTCTTCTTCGAGCACATTTCCTCCCTTCATCCTCCATCACCGCTCCACACTCATTCTGAAGGGGTTTTGGTGGTGGCGGTGATGGTGGATGGTGGGGTGGGGCCGTATAGGGGACCATTCCCATGGGAGGAGGGAAGTAAGATTTTTGAACGGGCACGACGCTATGGCTGACTCTGGTTTGAAGTTATGCCGATTTTCCAAGCTGCATAAAATTTCCTGTTTCATTTGCTCTATTTAGGAATAACTACTGGGCAGTCCTTGTTTCCGCGAGATTTCATTCGAATGAGATTTGCATTATAGGACGGAAAGAACTTACCGATCGGTATCGGAGTGAACTCGTACGGTATGTTGGTATTTCACGAAGGTACGAAAATCAACGAGTTTGCATGGGCAACGATTATGAAGATCAGCTTCAAGAAGAAGAATTTCTATGTTCATGTCAAGCTGGGCGAACCGAATGTGAGCTTTTTACTAGCATTTTTCATTCAAAATAATATTAACGAATTACCGTACAGGCGCCCGATACCGTACTCTCGTTCCATGTGGTATCATCGCCGGCTTGCAAGCAGCTGTGGAAAGCCTGTATTGAACATCATACGTTCTTTCGTCTGATTGCTCCACCACTAGCGCCACCTCGTGGCTTGTTGTCGATCGGAAGCAAGTACCGCTACTGGTAAGTGATAAGTCCTTATCATTTATGACGTCACCTGCACTATATTGCATAGTTTTTACAAATTTTTATCGGTATGAGGTGGACTGCTAATGCTGAAATTTTTTCGAACCTTAAAACATCTCTCTACGCCCTACTTTCTTCACGGCCACTAGGCTAACCGCGCTTGTACCTTGGCTCCCGAGAAACCTATTGATGCTACAATGCAGCTCCTTCTATGTGCTCTAATTTCGTTTCTATTTTTGACCGGAAGCTCCGCCCCTTTTGCTCGAATTTCCTCAGTGAGAACTTTGTTGCACTTACTTAAACGGCAGATCACCATGTCGTCATTTACGATTATTTCACTAGGAGTCAAATTTCGTCCTCAGAACCTTCGCTGAGACACATATGACGTTGTGCTCCGGCCGCGTAAACTTGTCAAATACATCGCCGTGACATACACCTACACCCGGCAGGTTCCAGTAGGACCTATTGGGCTAAAGTTTATAGTTGCACCTCCCTGTAAATATGTGTCAGCAGCCAAGTTTACCCAATAAGGTGGTCGGATGGGCAGTAGCGGGCCTCGCCTTGAAAGCATATTCTGCAAAACTTCAAAGTAATCCCTCTCATGGTAAATAATGTCGTGAGGCTCCTAAACGTACAGCAAGTGCCATTTATGTTGTTAAGAAACACATGGTCACAGTGCTTTGCTTTCAGACATGAGAAAATCCCAGCGCCATTCTTGTGCTAGTGTCTGCGTCTCGCTCGTATCTTGTGCTATTTCCCCTACGAGTCTGTTTAGTGGCCTTGGGTTCAGTATCTCTTCCCCTCTGTAGGCTCATCCACCCCCAGAAGAATAGCCCTCACTCGAAGTGTAACGAGCATTCCTTTCTGGTTTTATCACTGGCAATCCACTTCGCTCTTCCATTTTTATTACAATGCGCAAGGACCGCAGCCGGGTAATCTCAGCGGTGCCTGAAAGCAGTAAACACGATTGTGGAAGGCGGAAAAGCTCTAATGACGTTATTGGGAGGAACTTGTGGACCAGACCTGTCAGCGCGGTAGGGAATGTATGTGGGACCACCTTCCGAGGCCCCTCCACCAATGGCGCTCAATGACGTCACCAGAACCGCTCCGCTCTCTAACATTCGTGTTTACTTCCTTTATTAGTTCTGACAAACCAGAACGCTATCCTTTCCCATCGACATACTTGAGCCATTCACACTTCACGCCAATTCAACCATCTTCTGGTAGGCTACCAAAGCGGTTTTCACTTCACACATGGCCGCCTCTGAACCTGCACAAAGTGTTTGTCCAGCGAATCTAGCGTATTCTATTGTGCAAGAATGTATTCCGCTTCGTCGACAACCTCACCCACGCACCCGCAAAGTGCACTTCTTAGGTGGCGATCAGGGCTGGCATTCTGTTAAAAGAAATCCTCTATGATTTATGACTTCCTTTCCTGAGACAGTCCACTTATTGGAATTTGTTTTGTTGTTTATTTTTATTCATTTATTTTTCTATTTTATTTTATTTTATTTATTTTTATGATGTGGGACTTCTATAATCAAGTGACTGGGCTCCGTTCCATTTCATAGGATATCCTTGGATGACTAGCATTTTCAAGAGGGTTCTCAAAGACACATTTCGCTATTGCCTGAGCGGTTGACTATCTCCGCTATGGTAAGCTAGACTGGTCCGTGTCTATACAAAATGTGTCAGTTTAAAGCTCCTATTCGCGTAGCAAGGCGCTAAGGGAATATCTAGGTCCTACTTCCTAAGGTTTAAGCCCTAAAGCCTATTCCCGCCCCATCCACTCTCTGAAATAGGGTGCGTTGCAGTTCTCCTCCTCAGGTCAGGTCACCTAAAATTGAGACACCATTCATTCGCTCGGAGCAAGCTTAGGACTAGCTAAGCCCAATCCAATCATAGGCTTAGGCATAAGCCAATGTGTAAGCATAAGCCTAACCTAAGTCTAAACCCAAACCTAACCTTAAGGCTTCAATGATCGCGCAACTCTGGTGACCTGACCCCAGGAGGAGAACTGACGTCTCTCCTGAAGTGGTGCCATGTTTTTTTCTCCGTTTCCCTTGTAGTTATCCTAGCTCATCTTCTCATCTCCATAATCTCTCATCAAGAAGTGCACTTCACTCGACGCAAACCTGCCCACTGCTCCAAATAAAGTGCGCAATGGGCCTTACCTTCGCTGTTAGCAATGAACCCCGGAACTGTGCGGAACCTTCTGTGCTGAAATCGGTAGTCCTGCCCCATTGATAACATTCAAATTTGCGTGTTAATCGATGCAACACGCTCACAGCTGGCCCGTGTCGATGTTCACATTCAGATAATCGCCCGACATGCCCTATTATCGACTCCGTCATAATCACCGGACCATCATTTCCAGACCGATTCCATGATGCGAATGATAGCCAATATTCCTCCGTTTATTACCACCTTTTTCCACTTCTCCAAATTTAGGCTCGATTGTTTTCTGGTATTTTGTCTTCCACAAGGGTAAAGTTTTAAGTAGCAAAGTCCTGGCTCATCACGAAGGTGCTGACACGAATATCACACTCTCTTTAAATGGCATAGTCCACTGCATGCGTCACAGTTTCTTAAAATCTATTATGGCCACTCATCCATGCACTTCTTTATGGAGCGTTCATAGTTGGCGATCGTATGTGCGATTAGGGGATTAGGCAGGCAATAAGGCGATGATAAAAAGAGAAGCATACGTATCGATTAGGCGATTGGGGAGTTGGCGAGTAGGAGATGGAATAAAGGACTGGTATTGGTTTGTTGGGCCCGTTGAGGCGATGCGCTACTCGCCCACTCGCCTAATCGTCTAATCTATACGTATATTTTTCATCATGGAGTAGCCGCCTAGTCGCCTAATCGCACGTACGATCGCCAACTCTGAACACTCAATCACAGATTTTCGGCAAAATTGTAGCTACGACTTTTTTGCGTGCCCAAGGAACAACAGATCAGAAGTATCAAACGGGCCCAAAGCGGATGTGGTGCAGTGACAAGTGGCCTGCTTTACCACGCGCGCAGTCCGGGGATCGAATTCTGTGTCAGGCCACATCCATTCAAATGCCACTGCGAATGTACAAATGAAAGTAAAATGCGTGAGCCTCTCAACAGGGATTGACTCAACCGGCAGATGCTTATGCTTATCCTAAACGGGTTCGACCATTTCTTCGCTAAGGCAAACTTGGCAAATTCACGTACAAAGGTGGTTTGCAAACGTATGAGCAGTTCTGAAAAAACATTTTTTTTTAAAAAAAAACGACAGCGAGGATCCAACCACTCTGACACTCCTGCACACGGGCGGATTGGCATGGTATTCACTAGGCCACCAATCCACATTCGAGAAAGATGTGCGTGCCATATTTGGCTGAGCGCCAGTCTGCTCCGTATGACAAGAAGCTCGTAACTTTGTTCAGAGAAACGTTCAGTGGATATGGAATACAGTTCCGAAGTCAGCGTTCAGAAGCCTCTCAGGTGAAATGGCATCGTATTCCATCAAAGGCCACTTTGACCGGCTACCAGAGTCAACCCTGCGTTGCGCAGTTTTCAACGGCCACGTTGCGCAGTTTCGCCCGATTAGACACGTTCTCTCGCGCGAACATTCACACTCGCATGCTCGAGCCGTCTGCGTCTCCGCCCATACAGCGTGCGTTGAGGATCTCTCAACGTGCCGTTGCGAACTGCGCAACGCAGGGTTGACTCTGCTTGCCTGGCTAGCGTTCCCCTGTGAGTTGTGGGGACTCGTCAGTGCTGCTTGTACATAGCCCGCGCTAGATTTGATGAACCCAAATTGAAGGCCGATCCCGTCATTTTTTGTTAAAGCGCGAACTGTGCTATCCCTCTAGGTCCAACCATTGCATTTATCAAAATTTTGACGCCAACCCCCCCCCCCTCTTTACTATGGTTTGTTCCACCCTCACGAAGGGTTCCCTCGCAACACACATTTCACATACACTCAAAAGCTTTTAGAGATTATCAAGCACTCGCCAGTCAGCTAAATATAATACACCTGAAACGGGGAATTTTTAAGGCTTCCATGTTCTGTGCTGATTTAACAGGCTTTTTCTCACATCAAGCACAATTTTCTCTCCATGTATGCCAAACTTTTTGTGCTCCTTTTCAGGCAGTCAGTACCTCACGCCAAATTGTTCAGTCTGCTGGCCGCTCTCCGGCTCTGAAATAAAGCATTCCATACAAATATGATTTCCGCATTACAACCCGAATACCTCAACATGGCGCGCCATTGAATTCATAGATAAATAAATAAACTAATGAAAGGAAAAATCGAAAAAATAACGAAATATTTCTTGGGACTCCAATGCGTTTCGATTCGAAATAACACCCAATAGAGCGATTATTCAACTCGCACGCTTTTTGCGATAATCGTATGCAGAGAGCGTCGTTGTTATCGGAAAAGGGTGACCTTTGCTTGTCGGTTCTGAGTGTTCCCTATAGCGATCATCCGGCACTTTTCGTTCATGCCTAAAAGCATTCATAAAATCTTAAAAGCAGTTTATCAAATTTTTATCCCAATTTTTCTGAAGCTCGAAATTATTTGACTTAACAGCACACGAGGTTGTTAATGATTCCATTTTGACTTGTTTTTATTGGATAACTGCTGTTTTACGCCGCAGTTCGCGTTGCGAATGTTTCACAAGAATGCTGGGTTGTGAACAAAACTTTCGCCCCAGGCGGGACTAGAACCCGCACCTCTCGCTTTCCGGGCAAGTGCGCTACCAGTTACACCACCGGGGCACCATTTCACCAAGTTGTGTTAATGATTCCGTCGGCTAACGTTTCGGCGATTTCGCCTTCTTCGGAGCCTAAAAAAGTGGAACCAATTCACGATTTATCCGACCAAATGTCTCCCTACCCTACGAGACCTTCTATACCAGCTTTTTTCCAAGCGTTTACTTTTTTGATGCATTCCAAATGGATAAACAATGGCCCCGTATTTGCGATAGCGCCTCTTTTAGCATTGATAACCTTTTTGCT